TTTTTCGGCCGCTCCCGCGGCCAATCAGGCCGCCGCGCTAGCCACAGCGTTTTTTGGCTTCACCCCCGGGACATTAGAGCAGCGAGCTGCAATCACCGACGATGAGCCGGATTCTCATTACATCATCTCTATGTTGCCGTCATTGTTGTCGTTTTCTAATCAACACAGAGTGATGCTTCCTTGGCCTGCTCCCTCATCGTAGGGCCCACTTTCCTGCCTTTCCTGACTATCGACAACATGGCTTCAGTCGTCCTCGTTGGCGCCACGGGGCTTGTGGTCCGTAAGCATTTTGCAAAAAGAAGCGTGACAGATGCTAAAACATACAAAGGGGTCCCACATCCTGAAGACACTTCAGGCTGTAGATGGCGTTAGGTGTGTACCGATGCCTTCTCCAGGCGGCCTAGTCTAGATGCACTTGTTGCCTATCTTCCCGGCCCCAACGTTTACAAGTGCAGCCATATCTAATCAGAACATCCTCTGTAGCAAAATTGCCACATTCAGTCGCAAGCCTCTCCCCAGCGAGACCAAGATCAACAACCCGATCGTCTCTCCGGACAGCTCATCATGGCCTCAGCAATTTCCAGCTAACAACGATCTCTTCATCTCCGCGCTGGGAACAACTCGTGCCGCAGCTGGCGGTTTCGAGAACCAACGTAAGATCGATTATGACCTCAACGTTGCACTCGCACAGGAAGCGGCGAAGGGAACGAAGGTTTATGTACTCATATCCTCTTCCGGAGCAAACTCGCAGAGCATGGTTGGGTATCCCAAAATGAAAGGCGAGCTGGAAGATGCTGTTGCAAGTATGGGGTTCAAGGTGAGCATGTTTTGCGCTGTTCGCGTTCTTTGCACAAAAAATGAGTGCTAACTAGCTCGCGCCAGCGTGTCATTATACTCCGACCGTACGATAAGTCACGTCTTTTTGTACTAAAACCACCATGCTAACAGGCGTTGAAGAGGATTGATCGTCGGGGCTCGGGACGACACTCGGATAGTAGAGGCAGCGTTCAGAAAGCTAGCTGGCGCCATGGGCGCTGTCAGCAACAAATTGAAGGACTTCTGGGCCCAAGACGACGAGGTCATTGCGAGAGCTGCTGTTAGGGCGGGGCTTGAAGCGCTGAAAGATGTCGATGGAAAGGAGAAGGTGACGATTCTCGGACAGGCTGATGTCGTTAGGCTGGGCCGGACAGAATGGGATCTTTGACTTTGATGAATCAACAAGCAGGCCCGGGAAGCTACATAATGTAACAATTGTTCCTCCTATTGCCTACAGCGATCTATTCGATCCCAATCATCCCAGTATCTGTAGAGAGCAGACTTCTTCCTCGCCATCTAGATTCAATTACCATTTGCAGCAGTTCGCATAATTAAATCGATCTGAAACGGACCATGTGGGGGGGATTTTCCTATAATGCCTTAGAGCCAGCGGCTGCAACTCTCCGAGATCCCACTTCATCACATCACCATCCCCAGCACATGACAGACGCTGCGACCTTGACGTTGCGAATCACTTCTGACTGCCTCGCACGTAGATTCGCTCATGGGGATCTAAATGGAGGGCAATGAATAATTCGCGTACACCAGCATCTGAAAGGTATGCCAGCTAATCATCCTCCGCTTGCTTCGTCCCCTTCACTGTAGCCATCCTCTCCCGCGCATGCCCGACTTTTAAAGTCACCCGTCATTCACGATCCAGCTTCACTCTCAGCTCCTTCCGAGACACTTGATGCTTTGCACGGGCATTCCCGAAGGCCGCAGAAGTCGCTCTTGCTTCAAGCACCTCCGCATCGATCCAACCCACTCCACCGTCTTCTCTGACCTCACCTTCCCCATCCCATTCACGACAGCCACAAACAAGCACATTCTTCGGACAATCGTTGACAAATGCCTCCAAGTCAGCCAAGCCAGCGAGTCCTCCGCTCAGCCTCCGCAAGGCTGCTTGCCGCCGACGATAGCAACACTACACCGCACACCGACTCCGCCGCGACTGCACCCAGTTCTGCCCTTGCTACCGCGCAGCCCTCTTCACCTCACAACACCACAGCCTCATCTGCTGCTTTACCGGCAATACGCAAGCGCAAGGTCGCTACCACCGAGACACCCGAGGCGACACGCGAGCAGCGCAGCTCCAAACGCCGGCGACCCGGAACCGGCTCTACAACTGCCTCCACGGGCAATACGGTGATGTCCAGTGCTGGCCCATCGGGCTCCTCGGCAGAAACCTCGCCGCAGCAGGCGCCGCGCGACTCCTCCCGCAGAAAGACCGGCCGGCGCAGTAAAGATACACCTGCCGACCCCTCGGGCTCCAGCGTCCCTGCGAGGAAGCCGCGCAAAAGCTCGCGGAAAGATCAAGATGTGGTGATGAAGGACACGGATGAAAAGGGAGGCGAGCAGCTGCACGACGACGATGATGATGACGATGCCGCTGAGCCATCCCGTCAAGACACTGGCGGTGGAGCAGACGGCAGCGACGATATGCCGCGGGGCTTCCCCACCCACGACGAGCTTGATGCACTGGACCGCGCCGAGGATCCCTTCGGTGGCGGCTATCTTTCTCGCTTTGGCGGCCACTCAGGTCTGACTAGTAGCCTGAGAGCACTCAGCGGCATCGTTTCTGGCACCCACMGCCGTCTTCGCAACATACTCGCCCAACTACGAACCAAGGACGACTCTTCTGTCCAACTCATTGCACTGCAGGAGCTGTCTGAGCTTCTCTTGGTCTCCAACGAAGACAACCTGGCCGGCCACTTTGCACCCGATCTATATGTCAAAGAGCTGGTAACGCTTATGCAGCCAAATGCCTTTACTGGCGAGGAGAATCCGGAGATTATGCTGCTAGCGTGCCGCTGTATCGCCAATCTCATGGAGGCGCTCCCTGCTGCGACTGCCAGCGTGGTGTACGGCGGTGCAGTGCMTATACTCTGCCAGAAACTTTTGGAGATTCACTTCATCGACCTCGCGGAGCAAGCCCTCAGCACGCTGGAAAAGATCTCGGTAGAGTTCCCTTCGTCCATCGTGCGGGAAGGCGGGTTGACCGCATGTTTGACATATCTCGATTTCTTCGCAACCAGCACGCAGAGAACGGCGGTGACTACCGCAGCCAATTGCTGCCGCAACATTCCAGAAGACTCGTTTCCAACAGTCCGCGACGTGATGCCAATCCTGTTGACCACGCTTTCTAGCAGCGATCAACGTGTGGTCGAGCAGGCTTCCTTGTGTGTGTCCAGAGTCATCGACAGTTTCAAGTTCCACGAGAGCAAGTTGGAGGAGCTGGTGAGTGCTGARCTGCTCAAAGCCATTCTGCGTCTGTTGCTTCCAGGCTCCACCAACTTGATTGGCCCCAGCATTCACACACAGTTCCTGCGCGTATTGTCCATCACGGCGCGTGCGAGTCCACGCCTGTCCGCAGAGCTGCTGAAGATGAACGTCGTTGACACGCTCTACCAAATCCTGACCGGCGTGTCGCCGCCTACGGGTACAGATGGCGTTGCCGCGAAGATTGACAAGAATGTCATTATGCAATCAATCATTCGCACTCCACGAGAGTCAATCTTCGAAACCTTGAATGTCATTTGCGAACTGCTTCCCACCGTTTCACAAGAGAGCCTGACGTTCCTCGACGACTTGAAAGACGCCGGCTACACGGGTCCCGCAACTGCGTCTTTGTCGTCGCGAGCCAAGGCCTCGCCAAATGAGAAGATGCTCGAGTTGCTCAAAGACTGTGCTGATGAGGTCAAGCGCTTCGCTGTCATCTTGTTCCCAACGCTGATGCATGCATACACCAGCACTGTCAACCTGAGTGTTCGTCAGAAGGTCCTTACTGCACAGCTGAAGATGCTGTCCAATTTGGATATTGATATTCTACAAGAAGCCCTGCACGGCGTCACGTATGCCTCTCACCTTGCATCTATCCTCTCACAGCAGGACAATGCGTCGCTTGTGACGTTTGCCCTGCAAGCGGCGGAGCTGCTCTTGAAGCGTATGGAATCAGTCTATCGACCACAATTTTACCGTGAAGGCGTCATGGCTGAGATTGCCAAATTGGCAGCCCGCGAGATCAAAAAGGAGGCAGATTCCACAGTTGCCGTCAAGCTTGAAGATATCGATGCGCCACCAACCCGCAGACAGCYGCTCGAAGATGACGACGATGATGAGGGCGACGACGGCGAAGCGATTGACGTCGAGATTGACGTTCACGACGCAGGCAGCGACGATGATGATCATGATGGTCATGATGGCAACGAGCATTCCGAGCATGGAGACGGCCCAGTCCCACAAGACGGCGATGACGAGCACGATGATGAACACGACGATGATGAACCCGCGCGACCCGGGCATCACTCGGACATTTCAGACATKCCGCCTCCTCGGAAATCGCACCGCATCGTGGATGCTCAAGATGTGATCACGCTACAAGCGAAACGCTTCGTTGAAGCGCACGGAGATGGTGCTAGCGAACAAATGCGCACCCAGGCTACTGAAGTTCTCAACGACATCAAGTCCCTGGCTGACCAGCTGAGGGCTTGCTATGTTCTTTCAAACACGCCAGACCAGAGCGGATCTACATGTTTCCGTCGCCTAGCGAAGTACTTTGGTGGAGATGTTCTTGAGAGCATTACCAGCTACGAGTTGATGACTTCCGGCATCGTGGAAGTTTTGCTTGAGATTTTCACCGTCGACGATGAGGAAGTCGCAACCCGCGCGCGCTCAGACTTTCTTGGAGTCTTCATGTCAACATCGAATCATGCAAAGATTGCCACTGGCGATGCCAACTCGCCTTCAACCGCATTCAGTGTGCTCGTTTACAAGCTGCAGGACTTGTTGAGCCGTGCAGAGCATTTCGAAGTGGTCACGGTCTCCCACAACGCGTTTGAGAGCAACAGAGGAAGCGCTGCTTCTATGCTCGCCAAGCAGCTGCGACTGAAACTTGTTGCCGGTGAAGATTCTGGGATTCCTCGGCACTTTAGAAACATCATGGTCTCTATCCACGCCATTGCAACTTTCAAGGCCCTGGAGGATTATCTTCGCCCCCGCATCAATCTCTCGGAACGACCACGCGGTGCCCGCCGAGATGGCATTTCCGCCGCAATGGCTGCGTACGCGGCCGCTATGGCAGGTCGCGAAGGAAGAGACCAACCCCCACCTATCCCGAACTTGGCCAACTCTCTGTCAACTCGCAGCAGCGGTAAGAAGAGCAAAGCTTCCAAATCGGATGCTGGCCAAGCAGAAACTGGCAAGACGGAGGACAGTAGCGGTCGGCTACGCAGATCGTCTAGAAGACAGTCTGCGCAAGCATCCTCTATCGATCCTGCATCGCAGGCAGATGTGGCCGCTTCGTCATCGCAAGGGGCAGACGCGGACGAAGATGCGGCTCTTATCCAAAAGGCTTTGGAGTGTGCTGATGAGGCTCACGTCTCGGATGATGATGATGATGACGCCGATATTGAAGCAGATCTGGATGCTCTTGTCGACGATCTGGAGGACGGCGMACTTGAAGACGATGCTCCTGATCCGTCGGCGGTCAATCTCGAAATCGCAAAGTCTGGCAAAGTTACAGCTCGTACCGAAGACGGCGCGCGTGTTGGCACCCCTTCACAAGGTGTACCGACTCCTACTGGCAGGGATCGCATGTCGGCCACATCTCGACTTGCGGCGGCACGCGAGTTGCTGGCCACACCGACATCTTCGGCGCGCGGCATGTCATATGCTTCCGCTCTGCAACAAGCGCCGCAAGACTGGCACATTGAATTCAGCGTCAATGATCAGCCAATTGCAAGCGACACCACCATCTACCGCGCATGTCACTTCAACCAAGCGCAGGGAGACGATGCGTCAAGTCGCAACATTTGGTCGGCGACACATACCATCTCGTTCAAGCGGGTCTCAGGTCCGTCACCGACAGAGCGCAGCACGCCCAGTGAAGGCGCGTCTGGCAACATTCACTCGGATGGGCTACCGCCATCTCTTGACCAATACCCTGTGACTGCGTCGATCCTACGGCTCATGAGTATACTTCACGACCTCAACCTCAACTTGGACGATGTCATGGCAGAGAACAACCCGGTGCAGTTGATGCATGAACCCGTCACGCAGTTTATCAACACGAAGCTTACTGCGAAGCTGAACCGACAAATGGACGAACCACTCATCGTTGCAAGCCAGTGCTTGCCTAGCTGGAGCGAGGATCTTGCCCGCTTGTATCCTTTCCTCTTCCCATTTGAGACTCGTCATCTCTTCTTGCAGTCAACGTCGTTTGGCTACTCGCGGTTAATGGGTCGTTGGCAAAACGCGCAATCCGACAATGAATCACGACGTCATCGCGACGAACGCGTTTTCCTTGGAAGAGTCCAGCGCCAGAAGGTTCGCATCTCACGCACTCGCATTCTGGAATCTGCAATCAAGGTCATGGAACTGTACGGGAGCTCCTCCAGTGTGCTGGAAGTGGAGTACTTTGAGGAGGTCGGCACCGGTCTCGGACCGACGCTCGAGTTCTATTCCACCGTTTCCAAAGAGTTCTGCAAGCAAAGCACCAAATTATGGCGTGACAGCGATTCGCAGGGCGATGACGAGTACGCTTTTGGCAAGCAGGGCCTCTTTCCCAGACCGATGAGCGAGACAATGGCTTCCAACGAGAATGGTCAGAGGGTGCTTCACCTCTTCAAGATGCTGGGCAAATTTGTCGCTCGCTCCATGCTTGATGCACGCATTATTGATGTGTCTTTCAATCAGACATTCTTTCGCATCGGAGACAGCGCAACTACGGTCACGCCTTCGCTCGGTGCCGTTGCTACAGTGGACGAGGACCTGGCCAAGTCGCTCAAGATGCTGCGCAAGTACGAAAATGCTAAGAAGCGAATTGAAGAGGATCCGAGACTATCTGCCACACAAAAGGCGATGAAGATGGAACAGATTCGCGTTAACGATGCGAAGATCGAGGACTTGGCCATAAATTTCACGCTTCCCGGATACCCGGAAATCGAGCTCGTGGACAACGGTGTTAACCTCGATGTCAACCTCGACAATGTCGGCCTTTACATCAAAAAGGTCATCGACTTCACACTGGGTGCAGGCGTGCAGAGGCAGGTTGATGCTTTCCGTGCTGGATTCTCCCTCGTGTTCCCCTACACTGCGATGAAGTCCTTTACGCCCAAAGAACTCGTTGGCCTGTTCGGGCGGGTGGATGAAGACTGGTCGCTGGCCACGCTGATGGACTCTATCAAGGCCGACCATGGGTACAATCTCGACAGTAAAAGCGTGAGGAATCTGCTACAGGTCATGTCGGAGTACGCGCCGGAACAGAAGAGAGCCTTTCTGCAATTCGTTACGGGCAGTYCTAAGCTGCCGATCGGAGGTATGTTTGCGCTTCACAGGTCTGCTGAACTGAGAGATGGACTGACTAACCTGCTTGTGTTTCAGGCTTCAAGGCGCTTACGCCGATGTTTACTGTTGTATGCAAGCCTAGTGAGCCACCATACTCTTCCGACGACTATCTTCCTTCAGTCATGACCTGGTAAGTCAATATCAGAGATGCATGGCGAGAACAACTTGCTGACTTGTCGCCAGCGTTCAATATTTGAAGCYTCCGGACTACTCCTCAGTGGAGATCCTGAAAGCCAAACTGAATGTTGCAATGTCCGATGGACAGGGGGCATTCCACCTGAGCTAGAGCGGTGTTGTGGGAATGGGTGTGAAAGGGTGTGAAAGGGTGTGAAAGGGCATGCAAGATGAATGCTTTCGCAGCACGCGGAACATCATAACAGACGACGAAAACGAACAGGTCTCGGGCAAGGAAGTCTGGCCTTGCTGGCGTGTGGCGAATACAGTGGGAAAGCATAGCCTGGCGTTTCTCTTCGAGCTTCATTCGCTCGCTCGGCCGCTGGGCAGTTATCCTAGCACTTTACGGAGAGAATGGATATGATTTATGATCGTTACCGAGCATTTTCACTTGCGCTTGACGTTCGGGACATTGAATTGTATCATAGTTTGTGTGTAATCGGCCTACCTTCCTCAGGGTCAATGCTCTAGTTCGTCCCTCGGCTGAGCGGGGAGCCATGGCGGCCGAGGGATTACCTACGTAGGGCGACGTAGTGACCGTCTGCATTCCTCCTTGCCCACATATCACATTGGTTCTATTGTGTTCTACACCAGGCATTCGATTCAACATGGCTATCTTACGGGTGGCTCCCTCAAGAGCCCAGCAGGCTGTGAACCTCCTTCGTGCAGTCAATTCTGGAAGCAGTACCTGTCCATGCCATTCCAACCCAGGCGCTCACACACACAACAGCCATGGCGGAATGTTGAATCCTTTTGCAGGTCGCAGGCGCTCACTAGCGACTCCCGTCGATCAGAGTCAGCAAAAGGAGTATGCATTCGAAATGGCCGCTTCCAGCATTCGATTTGGACCAGGCTGTACCAAGGAAGTGGGCATGGATTTTAAGAATATGGGAGCGAAGAAGGTCATGGTCGTTACTGATTCGACTGTGTTGAACTTGGACGCTATGAAGCAGGTGTCGGAGGRTTTGGAGCGCGAGGGTGTGAAGTTTGAGGTTTTCAGTAATGTGAGGGTCGAGCCAAAGGACTACTCGTATGTGGTATCCTCCCGTTATCATTGAATCTTTGTCAAGTTCTTCATTGACTAGTTCAACAGAATTCGGGAGGCTATTGACTACGCCAAGCCGTACCAGCCAGACGCCTTCCTTGCTGTCGGCGGTGGAAGTGTCATGGACACGGCCAAGCTGATGAACCTTTACACCACCTGCCCGGATGCGGATTTTCTGGACTTTGTAAATGCACCTCTGGGCAAGGGTCTGCCCATTACTGCGAAGCTGAAGCCATTGATCGCCGTGCCAACAACTGCAGGCACGGGTTCGGAAACCACTGGAACGGCCATCTTTGATCTGGTAGAGAAGCGAGCAAAGACGGGCATTGCACACCGTAACCTCAAGCCAACCCTCGGCATATGTGATCCGATCAACACCCGAACTATGCCATCGGCAGTTCATGCTAGTTCGGGATTGGATGTCCTGTGCCACAGTTTGGAGAGTTGGACCGCTATTCCATACTATGAGCGAACTCCACGGCCACAAAATCCCATCAACAGGCCAGCATACCAGGGCGCGAATCCAATCAGCGATATATTCTCTTTGCAGGCTTTGCGTAGCACCGTGAAGTATCTCCCACGCGCTACGAAGGACCCCGATGACTGGGAGGCACAGTCTGAGATGCTTCTTGCTGCCACCTTGGCTGGTGTTGGATTTGGAAACGCTGGCGTGCATCTCTGCCACGGCATGTCTTACCCCATTTCTGGGCAGAATCCTGGGTACAGGCATGCTGGCTATGAAGTAGGAGGTGCGGCGATCATTCCTCACGGTGTTTCTGTCGCGGTCACAGCTCCGGCGGTATTCAAATTCACAGCTGCAAGCAATCCTGAACGCCATTTGGCCGCCGCGGAATGCTTCGGAGTTGACATCTCGCAAGTCAAGAAGGAGAGTGCTGGGGAGGTGTTGAGCGAAGCCTTGGCAAGGTTCCTTTCCGATCTTGGCGATCAGCCGAGAGGTCTCAAGGCCATGGGCTTCAAGAACTCGGACATTGATGGTTTGGTCGAGGGGACAATTCCACAGGCTAGAGTGTTGATGCTGGCGCCTGGCCTCGAAGCAAGTGGTAGCGACAAGGAGCGCGATCAATTGAGAGGGCTCTTTGAGGAGGCAATGGAATACTAGTTTCCATCGGAGGACAAAGGCCGGCAGAAGAAAGGACTGCGTGAGATCGAGAGAAGAAATGAAAAACATACAGGGATCCAATCACCAAGCAGGACAATTGTGCTGAGTAGTTTGGAGGCAGCATGGCCGCAACTTACTGTCCCCTGCGCTGCTCAAAGGTAAATGATCGAGGCTCTGTATCAGCCCTTTCCTTTCCGCGTGCTGCTCGACCAGCCATGGATCTTTTGGTGCTTTCTGCACGATGGCTTGTCAACACAAGCCTTCACTGCGGTGCTCGTTTTCTGTTTTCTGCCAATGAGCTGCCGCTCTTGCGGTGTGCTTTCTTTCTGATTCGTCGTCAACCTTCCATTCACCTTGGTTGCTTTCTGTGCGTGTTCTAGTTAAGGAGCGATCGCTCTCCCCGAGTGACATTGGACGCAGTGGCCTCGCTGTCCCATGAGGTACTTGTCTGAGCGCGACGGTGACAACGGCAGATGTCCATCAGCTTCGGACAAGCTCTCTTCCTGGCTTCAACCACCCACCTGCTTTGCTTTGGCGAGTAGCTTTTGAATCAGTCGTGTGGCCATGGCTCTTTTCCGGCCGGTACTCTCGCGGCATGGCCTACTGATTACTCTGCGACGATGAAGACAGTGCGCCATAGTAGTGAGCAGTGCGGCAATGTGCAGCGGTGATGGTACGTCCGGCGGGCATTAACTGTTCTTGTTTCCTCATCCGGCGCGAGAAGACAGTTGAGGTCAAAACGCCGTGCTGCGTCACACCTTCCTCAGCAGTCGCGCCTCAGCAATACGCACAGCCCAGGCGGAAAGAATGACTTTTACCTTCACTCACCATCAATCCTCTTCCGTCCGAGCCACGTTCTGGTCCCTAGCTGGAGGCGGCGTAGAGCTATCTATGATGCCAAGAAAGGCGCACCATAGAAAGACTTGGCTATTGACCTTTCGAGCGACAGTGGAGGTGAYGATACGCCTTCGACTCTGCAGTCCCGGCCGAGAAAGCGCACATCGCTTCATATGAGCCAGCAAGACTAGCGGGTAATCCCATCTCCCCGGCAGCTACATTGGACATTGGCATTGATTGCCGCTGCCCATGGCCTGATGATGGTAGCACATAGTACCTAGTTGTCTTGCGTATCGTCCGAGACAGATGATTGTTCAACACCAGCTTGGTCTCATTTTCACACACAACTTCTTCGACGACTTGGTTGGCGAGCTCTCCAGACGAATGCAGATACATTGTGGCTCTCCATAGAATATCTCCTCTTGGTAGGCATAGCCATCKGTTCGTGATTGTGGTCATCGGTGTACCACGAGTAAACTCGGCCAGCTTCAAGTTCACAATCCTTCGAAGTCTTGTCGACTGCATCTTCTCGCGCGGAACAAGGAGCACCACCCACTGCGAGCAATTTTTGAAGAGGTAAAAGGACATTGGATGGAACGTCAATGCCCGATAAGTAAGAGGCTTAGTATCTTACGTGTAGCTCGAGACGGATTGGCCCTACTCCTGATGACCAATCTCAGAACCTCCTTTAATCGCAACAGAGATTTTTCAATCTCACTGGCCTTGGGCGTCAAATGTCGAAGTCACTGGAGGCCACAATTTTGRGCCATAGCTTACAAGGATAGAGATGAACAGCAGGTTTGCCATGTCGATTGCATTTTTTGCATTGCAAACCGGGCTGAAAAGGTAAAAGACATCTATCTGGTTAGGGGGAGAGATTGTCGCACATCGAAAAGAATTGCTCCCCAAGTGAATGTGTACTGTACAAGTTTGAGTGATGGAAATTTAATTAAAAGATGAGCCAAGGCTCGCCCAGTCTATGAATGTGTACAACACCAAYAAGTCATCGAAGTTCAAGCACATTATTCGTTGATGGGGTCAAGCTCAGTTGCTGACCTTGGCGGATCCCTTGCCCTCCGCAGAAACGCCGCTGCCCTGCGATGCCTTGGCCGATCCCTTGACAGAAAGGTCGCCGGATGCATTGCCTGAGCTGCTGCCCTGTGATTCTTTGGCAGATCCCTTGACGGCGAGGTCGCCGGATGCGCTGCCCTGTGATTCTTTGGTCGATCCCTTGACGGAGAGGCCGCCAGATGCCTTGTCAGAGCTGMTTCCCTGCGATCCCTTGGCCGATCCCTTGACGGAGAGGTCGCCGGATGCGCTGCCCTGTGATTCTTTGGCCGATCCCTTGACGGAGAGGCCACCAGATGCCTTGTCAGAGCTGCTGCCCTGCGATGCATTGGCCGATCCCTTRACAGAAAGGTCGCCGGATGCCTTGCCTGAGCTGCTGCCCTGTGATTCTTTGGCCGATCCATTGACGAAGATGCCGCCGGATGCCTTGCCTGAGCTGCTAGAGCTGCTCTCGCCAACGTCCATCGCACCATGAGCATCAATGGAAATTATTGGGCCATTGCTGCTGTGCAATCGCAYGACTCCACTAGCACTGAGGAAGAATGGAGCAAAGCCTTTGCCTGTATCGATCTCCATTCGATCGCCGTTGATACGGAAGAGAGGTCCTTGTTGGTTGGCGAGGTGCATGTCTCCGTTGACCAGGATCACAAGCAGCGGTCCGTTATTGAGGCCTCCGTTGTTGAGCTGCATTTGCCCTTGGCCGTTCACACTCAAAAGCGGGCCGGATGTGGAAGAACCCATCCTGAGCGAACCCGAGCCGTCAAGGAAAAGCGGACTCTTGCTTGATCCTGCACCCATGCTCATTTGTCCACTGATTGTGATTTGGATAAGCGGGCCAGCTCCGGAAGCACCCATTCTGAGCGAACCCGAGCCGTCAAGAGAKAGGGGWGTCTTRGTTGATCCTGAGCCCATGCTCATCTGTCCACCAACTGTGACCTGAAGAAGCGGGCCAGCTCCAGAAGCACCCATTCTGAGCGAACCCGAGCCGTCAAGAGAGAGGGGAGTCTTGTTTGATCCTGCACCCATGCTCATCTGTCCACCAACTGTGACCTGAAGAAGCGGGCCAGATACCGAATTGCCCATGCGAAGGCTACCCGATCCATCAAGGGAGAGCGGGATCTTGCTGGATCCTGCACCCATTGACATCTGGCCTCCAATTGTGACCTGGATGAGAGGGCCGGAGGAACCTGAGTTTCCCATGTGAAGGCTGCCCGACCCAGAGAGGGAGAGCGGRATCTTGTTGGATCCTGCACCCATTGACATCTGACCTCCGACTGTGACCTGAATGAGTGGGCCTGAAGAACCTGCGTTTCCCATGTGGAGGCTACCAGACCCAGAGAGGGAGAGTGGGATTTTGCTAGTGCCCATTGACATCTGACCTCCGACTGTGACCTGAATGAGTGGGCCTGAAGAACCTGCGTTTCCCATGTGGAGGCTACCAGACCCAGAGAGGGAGAGAGGGATTTTGCTAGTGCCCATGGTCATCTGCCCGCCAGCCGTGATTTGCAAAAGAGGGCCTGAGGAACCTGAGTTTCCCATGTGAAGGCTGCCCGATCCAGAGAGGGAGAGTGGAATTTTGTTGGATTCTGTGCCCAATGACATCGATCCGTCTGCTGACAGTGAGAAAGGAACTCCATTTTGACCACCAAGCTTCATGCCTCCTGAGTTTGAAGATGATCCAACCGAGATGATTGGTCCGTTGGAGGAGCCCAGGTGCATCTCGCCTGAACCGCTCAAAGACAGTGCGGGTCCGTTCTGGCCCAGTGTGCTGYGTCCTTGGGCATTCGTCGAGACTCCAGGGAATTCGGATCCGGCATTCTGTGAGTTTTGACCGTTGGTGGCGTTAAGCGAGCCATCAACGTTAAGACCAGAGTTTCCTGAACCGACTGATGGGATGATACCAGAGTTCTTGTCTCCGTTAAGCTTGCCGTCAGCACCCGCGTTGAGATCGAGGCCTGGAGCAAGACCGGAACCAACACCCAGAGAACCTTGGCCATCACCTTGCAAACCTGAGCCAGTTCCGGCTGAGGCTTTTCCGTCGCCGTTCAGAGAGAGGCCAGGGAGACCAGCGCCGCCTGCATTGCCTTTGAGCGCTCCATCGACTGAAGGGAGGCCTGAGCCTGCGTTTCCACTGAGCATTCCATCCACCGAGGGCATGTCGTTAAGACCGGGGAGCTTTCCTCCAAGACCGCCATCGACTGAAGGGAGGCCTGAGCCTGCGTCTCCACTGAGCATTCCATCGACCGAGGGGATGTCGTTAACACCAGGGAGCTTGCCTCCAAGAGCACCATCGACTGAAGGGAGGCCTGAGCCTGCGTTTCCACTCAGCATTCCATCGAGGGAGGGGAAGTTGCCTTTGAGAGCACCGTCAACGGAAGGCAGACCTGAGCCTGCGTTGCCGCTAACCATTCCATCGACGGAGGGGAAGTTGCCTTTGAGAGCACCGTCAACGGAAGGCAGACCTGAGCCTGCGTTGCCGCTAAGCATTCCATCGACGGAGGGGAAGTTGCCTTTGAGAGCACCGTCAACGGAAGGCAGACCTGAGCCTGCGTTGCCGCTAACCATTCCATCGACGGAGGGGAAGTTTCCTTTGAGAGCACCATCAACGGAAGGCAGACCGGAGCCTGCGTTGCCGCT